CCCAAAAAAAAACAACAACAACCCAAAAACAACAACAAGCAAAACATAGTCAACCTCAATCAGATCGCCAGTTTATAAACAATGTACATTGTAGACATGGGAACTGTACAAGTGAATTTGGCAGCGCAAACAACGGTAACGACACTCACGCAACAGTGATCAACAACAATAATAACACTAACACCACCATCATCCCCACCATGCACCACCACCACCAACAACAACATCACCGTCATCAAAATCAGCAAAAACAATAACAGCAAATGAAACAATGAAAAAATATATAATATGTTGTGAAGACAGACAGACAGACACACATACAGACAGAAAGGCAAATCGAACCTCTGAGCCTCAGTGCTTTTACATGATGTAAGAGCTTATTCTTGGTATAGTATGAATATAAACCTCATTTGTATGAATTCCAGAAATTGTCATACGATCATCCTCTACCGAGACAGAACTCTGTTCTACGGCAAGCCCTAAAACCATCACGTTACCCCATCCTGTGCTGGTACTCACTTCACAAACGGATAGACAGACATACGCATATTCCCAAGGGAAAGGCGGAAAGATATATATAATACCCCCCCCCTTTAAAAAGAACACACCCCCCAAAAAAACAACAACCAAAAACCAAAAACAACAAGAACAAAAAACAACAAAAAACAAAACAAACGAAAAACCCAACAAAAACACCTCCAAAGAAAAAAACAAAAATTAAAAACAAACACAAAAAACTACAAAACCCAGAAACAACAAAGAAAGAAAGAAAAAAAGAAAGAAAGAAAGAAAAAAAGAAAGAAAGAAACGGCTTAACAGTAAGGTATAGCACGTTGAAAGTCGCCGTTTCAACTTTCGTTGTTTGTTCCCGCCTCTTCTTATTTCATAATTCCACTTCAGCATTATATACTCCTATGATGACCAAATAAACTGTCGTCAGGTCTTCAAAAAGACCCACCGCATTAAAAAAGGGCACACATCATTACTGTACTAGAACTACAATAAGGTCCACCAAATACATAGACTCCTTTGAATGCAGAACAGCACAAACTAAATAAGGAAAACATCCATCGGAATCTCAAAAACGAACCTTTGAGATTCTACCACCAACCAAGACAGCCGCCAGACAGCTATCAACTGCATTCGCCACTAACTTGATGTTTATAAAGAAAAAAATCTGTGACGACGCAGTTAATCACTCCTAATTCTTCGAGTGTCAAGGGTCCACACCTCTTTTGTTCTAAAAGAAAAACCTCCTATTCAGTTTTATTAATAAAAGGCAGATGCCCTGTGAGGTCACCCCGCTCCACCATAGAAGTAAACAAGCCATCACATTTTGTTTCCCACCCCTCTTCGATGGCAAAAATAGCGGAGAGCACTTAGACACTTAGGCGTCACCTTTGTCTCTAAGCTCATCTCAAGCTTGTGTCATTGTAATGTTCAGATTCTCCGAACATAATCGTGTCAAATCATCTCCCTCCTTATTCATGAGACGCTGATATTTCAAAACCTGTTCCAATCTCCCAAACTTGATCTATAATATTTGGAGTTCGCGATAAGTCAATTCCAAGGGACCAGAACGTCCACAAAGAGCGGTCGTTTCCGATCCCGGAATTTTGCAAAATCGCCGACGTAAAGTGTGTTTAAAAAAGGGGTGTGTGTTTGGGGGGTTGGGGGGGGGGGGTCAGTCACGTATTCTGATCATGTTAGCTTGATATGCAAAATGTGAATTCACTCTATGTAATGAATAATGCAGAGTTGTTTTACGCTGGGTCAGTCAGTTTCATTGATACACTCCTCCTTCTTGAGCTGATAACCTACCTATAAGCTTTCATAAATGAACTTGACATTGTAGTGCTGATAAACGCGTGTACTCCATACCAACTCCCGTCCTCCCGACCACATCACCCCGCCACTGATAAACTTCAAAATAATTAAATTGTTATACTTGATTGATCGATCACTGATTGATTTTAAATGTTTTACGTCCCCATCGATACAATTTAGATTACTCGGAAATCCGGCTGCTTCAGCCTTGTCCGCTTGGGTCATCCCGGGCAGGGAGTGAAAAACAACATCCAACCAGACAGATGAAAATATTAAAAAAATACCTCAGCATTCGGGAATCGAACTCGCCCTTTCTGCGTTCAACATCTATGTTTGTGCCTATACGCGACACCACATACGCTGATTGCAATAGCACCAGCAATTAACCAACTTCAGAATCAAGCTATTATGTAGCCTATGGATAAAGACACTCAAGCACTTGAAAGACAAGTGGACACTTCTCATCCCATCCTTGTGCTATTTTATTTTTATGCGGATGAGGAATCCAACACTTTCAACAGCATGCTTTCATTCAAGTGGGCTGTGTAAGCTTATTTATACAACAGGGCGTGTCCAGGCGATTTCATTGCTCACCCCGAGAGGAGTCTAAGAGGAAGTACACATGGTCGAAAATCCCAAAGAGAGTTGATAGCTTTAAATCTAAGATGCAACGCCCGTTCGTTGTAAACAAAGAAACATTGTAAACCCTCAGCTGAGCACCAGCAGATTCGTGCGAACTGGCAAGCAGACATACCGTGTGCGATTCAATCGGGCCGTGAAATCAAAGAAACAATTTTACCTAACCCCTGTGTACTTCTTGTGTAGGGCTACGTTACACATTATCTTCTCTTCAACCGCCTTAAGACCCTCAAAACGACAAAATGGGTACAGTATCGGAAACGAGGGGTGGGAGATACGGCGGAGGGGCGAGAGACACTGAAATGAATGAGGGTTTACATTCTCACGTATATTATGTTCTAGAGAATATAGATTTGTCTACTAATACTACTACTACTACTACTACTACTACTACTACTACTACTACTACTACTACTA